GAGAGAGAAAGAGAGAAAGAGAAAATAATAATCACGAAACACGTTCGAAGATCTACGTTTATATATCGAACGATCTTACAATGGAGTGTTGTCGGTAATATAGAAATCTATAGATCTCTGCTAGTTTATGTATACGGGAGTATACAAGGCACGTGTCTCTCGCACGTTGTCCCATATAATTGAATACGGCCACCGCCTTTTCTTCTTCGACCTCGTTAAACCTTTTATCACTTCACCTTCTTCTATCTCACGTCTTATTTCACGTCTTCCTTTTCTTTCGTCGACAGTTGATACATGAAAAATCGTCGTCTTCCTTCCAAGACTATTACGTACTGTCAGCCGCATCTGTCTGGTCGACATTGTACAGGCGTCCAACGAGATGAACTATTAGCAATCTTCATAAAGCTTCTTACGGGTGTCTCGTTGAAGGAAATCACTTTTTATTTAGAGAAAAAAAAAAAAGAAAAAAAAAAAGAAGAAGAAACGATGGATCCAGTGATCACGTGATCATCCTTTCTCTCTCTCTCTCTCTCTCTCTCTCTGTCTGTCTTTCTGTCTCTCTTTCTCTCCCTCTTTCTCTCTCTCTCTCTCTCTCTCTCTCTCTCTCTCTCTTTCACTCTCTTTCACATCAAATATGTTACTTGAGGGATCTCTTTCAAATTTCAAGGTCAACAACGAATTGCTCTAAACATTTACACTCGTAATACCCTTGACAACGAACATCAAACGACAATAACAATTACGTATTTGGAACGAACTTATCTCGATTCATCGACGACGACTTTTTTTTTCGTCGATCGTTCGTAAATTATTATAAGAATTATTATATTAAACGAATAAAAGCGTTTCTCCTGTTTTCTTTTTTTCTTTTCCCTCCCTTATAATTCTTCGATGAGGACGAAGAATAATACTTTGAGATCGTAGCGCGACCTGGGTCAACCGGAAAGAACGTCTGCGCCACACGGGAGCCGCCCCGATGCTGCGGCTGCCGGATAGAGGGATGAAATCCTGCACTCTGCTCGACTCGAGTAAAGCTCGAAAAGGGGCGCGGAGGGAGCGTTGTAAATGGGAGATCGAGGGGGAAGAGAGAGGCACGTCGTGGTGGTGGCGTCAGCTGGGAGAGAGAGAAGGGGATCTCTCTCTCTCTCTCTCTTTCTTTCTCATAAGGGATGCAAGGACGGAATAAAAAGAGAGAGAGAGAGAGAGAGAGAGAGAGAGCTAGCCAACGCTCTGGTTACCATGGAGACCGTGTCGAGCGTGCGAAGTTACACGCAGGCTTGGTCCTGCGCCTGGTATACTCAAACTCCGTTCGCAGAAAGAGAGAGAGTGAGAGAGAGAGAGAGAGAGACAGATATATATATATATATATATATAGAGAGAGAGAGAGAGAGAGAGAGAGAGTAGTTTGCAGGAAATCTACGGACTCGTAAGGACACCTGTGTACGTTCCTATGTGCTCGTGTACGTGAAAGGGTGAAGAACGTTCCGGCCTATGTTCGTCGCTGTCCTCCCCTTTCCCCTATCTTCCCTCTTCTCCTCTCCCACCCAGTGCCTCTCCGAGCAAGGGAATCCCGGGCTGTTTGTATCCGGAAGGACGAGGAAGGAAGGAAGGAAGTATATGAGGAAGGGAACTCTATATATCTTCGATTCCTTTCTACACTCCTCCTTTCTGCCACTCCCTTTCCCTGTAATTAGGGCAAGGTTTCGCATGTCTCGAGCACGCCCGCCATTATTTTTTTCTCATTTCTTTTTTTTTCTTTTTTTTTTTCTTTTTTCTTTTTTTTTTTTTTTTCTTTTCTTCCGCCATTTCACCCGTCGTCATTGCCATTAATTCATTTGGGATAAAAAGGAAGGTGGTTGGAGTAACTTGATAACAACATAACACGTTTGATGAACTTTGTTTATCGTAATAAAAAGGTTTTCTCTTTGTTCGTGTTTCTTTTTTTCTTTCGACATTCTTTTTCCTTTTTTTTTTCTTCTTCTTCTTTTTTCCTTTTTCTTTACGAAATATTTCTCTCTCTCTCTCTCTCTCTCTCTCTCTCTCTCTCTCTCTGTTTCTTTTTTCTCTCATAGTTTTTCTATGTATTTACGCGAGTATATAGAATAATTAAAAGGAGAGATAGAAACTTGGAAGCCCCGTTCGTTAGAGAAATACTATCTTGTTGGAATTATTATTCTTCCTTTTGTAATAAGATTTATAGAACGGAAAACGAGATACGTTTCATTATTTTTTTGCTTTCTTTTTTTTCTCTTTTTTGTTTTTTTTTTTATATCTTTTACCTTCGTTTCCAACTTTCGATTGGATTTATATCACTTAGAGTAAAGAATGAGAGAGAAAGAGAAAGAGAGAGAGAGAGAGAGGAAGAGAGAAAGAGAGAAAGAGAGAGAAAAGAAAAATATTTGAACCGTTACGGAAGAAGATATAAAGTTAATGGCAGTGGTAGAAGCGCGGATGCGAAAATAACAAGGACAGAGTGGAATTTTACGAGAAGGTAAATCACTTCAGCGTACATATATATATATATATATATATGCATGTATGTATATACGTAGATAGGTATATAGATATCTTACCGCTAAGAACGGTGATTCGTCCTTCTAACTTCGTTTAGAAACCGCTAACAAAATGGATGAAGAGAACTGACGAGTAGTGGATACATGAATGTCCTTGGCATAGTATATAACATAGTTATATATCGCCAGATTCACGAGAATTATAAATCATTTGCAGATTTGAGATTACAGATTTAAGATTTAAAATTTCAGATTTGTTTAGCGTTTTCGAGATTACGAAGAAAAAAAGGAAACAAAAGAAAAAAAAAAAAAGAAAAAAAAGGAAAGAGAAAAGGGAAAGAACTGTTCGAACCATACAAACGTGGAAAATATCTTAGAAAATCTCTCGAGATGTCTTAGGTTATTTACTTTCATGAATTTCCCCGATTGGTAAATTCCACGTCGTTGAAGAATTATTATTGCGACGATATCGAGAGATTTCGAGTTAGATTGTAAATTATTACCGAGTTTCTCTCCCCCTCCCTCCTTCACCTCCTTCTCCTTCTCTCCCCTCACCTCACTTGTACAGTTAACTCTTGTATATAATCTACATATATACATATATACATATATATATATATATATACTCACTTAAATGTTTATCTATATAACCGTTCAAGAAAGATGTATAGCCAGTGTGAAAAAAGACAAGCACCTTAACGATTTTCGATTTAAGAATTTTTAAGTTGCTAGTATTTTTATCTTTTTTCTCACCCTTTATACTTTTTCTTTTTTCTTTCGACGATAAATTTTCTTTTTTCTTTTTCTTTCTTTCTTTCATTTTCTTGTTTTTTTTTCTTGTTTTTTTTTCCTTTTTTTTTTTTTAGTTTCAAACGAGATCACAATTTCTCGTCGACAATATCGTTCCATTTAATCATACGATTATTCTAAATGCTTCGTGCCTTTTTGCAAAAGTATTTATTACCTTCGCTCACTTGCGCAATTAATTCTCGTATATAATATACATAATTATAAGTATTTATCTAACAATCGTATGGAAAAAGAGATATCGTTGTGATGAAAGATAATTATCCAAAAAAAAAAAAAAAAAAAATAAAAGAAAAAAAAAGAAAAAAAAATGTTCTTTCCTTCGGATCACGAAGAAAATTCTTTTTTCTTTTTTTCCTTCGACGAGAAATTTCC